ATTCCTGCTCTAGCACAGTGCTTGAGTCATAGTAGACATTTAGTAAATATTTGCTAAATAGAGGAGTACCAGTGGACTGTATTTTTTTCCCTAAAAGGTAGCTAAATCTTCTTTTCCTTCTTTGTCTTAAGCAATTTAGTACTTGTCCAAAAGATAGTAGTTTTGACTATTCATCCATGATATATACTTATATACTACAAAGTAGACTTTAACCCCATCCTAGAAAAATGTCATCACATGCTTTTTTTAAAAAATATATATTTTTATTGATTTGAGAGGAAAGGAAAGGGAGTGAGAGATAGAAACATCAATGAGGGGAAAAACGAAATATTAAAAAAAGAGAAACATCAGCGGTGAGAGAGAATCATTGATCGGCTGCCACCTGCACACCCCCTACTAGGGATTGAGCCCGAAACCCAGGCATGTGCCCTTGACTGGAATTGAACCTGGTACCCTTCAGTTCACAGGCCAACACTCTATCCACTGACCCAAACCAGATAGGACCATCACATGCTTTTAAAAAACAAAACAAAATAAATTTGAAATAGGGCAAATAAAAATATTTTATTTATTAATTTTGAGAGAGAAACATCGATTTGTTCTTTCACGTATGCATTCATTGGTTGCTTCTTTTATGTGCCCTGACTGGAGATAGAACCTGCAACCTTGGCATATTGGGAGGACACTCTAATCAACTGAACCACCTACCAGGGCTGACATCACATGCTGTTAATTTCTGACCCAAACTAAACTCCCCTGTCAAAATGAGTACCCTTCCTGATGCCTCTATTTTTTGGTGATAAAAGCCACTATTATCATATATTTATGCTTAAAACTTTAGAGTTGTCTTCAAATTAGGCTTTATATTTGCTTCCCATATCCAGTCACCCAACTTCATTTTATTTTTTTTGTTAATCCTCACCCAAGGATATTTTTCCATTGATTTTTAGGGAGAGTGGAAGAGAGAGGGAAAGACAGAGAGAAACATCTATGTGAGAGAGACACATCGATTGGTTGCCTCCTGCATGTGCCCCAACCAGGGCCTGGCCAGGGAGGAGCCTGCAACCGAGGTATGTGCCCTTGACCGGAATCGAACCTGGGACCCTTCAGTCTGCAGTCCAAAGCTCTAGCTGTTGAGCCAAACTGGCTAGGGCGTATTTTACTTTTTTTTTTTTTTTTAAAGATTTTTTTTATTTATTTCAGAGAGGAAGGGAGAGGGATAGAGAGATAGAAGCATCAGTGATGAGGGAGAATCATTGATCAGCTGCCTCCTGCATGCCCCACACTGGGGATCGAGTCCACAGTCTGGACATGTGCCCTGACGAGGAATTGAACTGTGACCACTTGGTTCATAGGTTGATGCTCAACCACTGAGCCATGCTGGCTGGGCTTATCTTTTTTAAGAATGTGTGACATAATATATGGTATACATAAGGCAGAATGGATGTAAAAAATATGAGCAGAATTTTAAGCTACCAGGTTCTAGCATTATGTTCAGGTGAAAGCTAATCTTTTAATCTTCTGGAAATCTGGGAAATAAAGAGTAGGGCGAATTTTATTCTAAATATTTAAAGTTTTGTGGCTTTTATGTAACAGAACATTGAACATTATAAACAGTGCCTTTGGTAATTTATAGGGCATGTTGAAATGTTTTTCATGTGGTTCTTTTTTTATGACCCTGAATAAAAGCTAAGGTTATATCAAAAATATAACTTCAGTAAGGAAAGTAAAGCTGATGGGTTCCACACATACAACTGTCTCATGACTCAATGTACACCCTGTATTCGGAGCTATACGAGATACTGCCTTCAGGGAGCTCATAGTATAATTGAAGAGGCAAAATACAGAGTCCTAAACTACAAGAAAGACACTACAATAATTGCATTACTGTATTATGTGTCCAATGACACAGGGGAAAGCTGGACCATGAAAAACAGGTAATTGCAACAGAATGAAAAAGACGAGGGACAGCATGCATGAAACTGGATGAAAGTGGCATTGTAAGACTATTTTAGTAGCAGTGTATTAGATGCACTGGATGATAGAAAATAAGTAAAAGGCAATGTAGGTAAGAAACTTTGTCATAATCCAAGAGCATTCCTGGCAGAGGAAACAGCAAACTGGAAGACCCTCCAATGGGAGTGTGCCTAGCTTTTAGGAATAGCAAGGAGGTTATTTTGACTGGAAGTGGGAGGGTGATGCAAGTGAAGTATGAGAGGAGGTAGTTCTCTGGGTTTTATGTAGAGCAAGTATAGGCCAACAAGGGTGAAAGCAGGGAGCACAGTTAAGGAGGCTGTTGTATTAAAACCAACTTGGATATATTATAAGGCAGAAAAAACAGGCCGAGATCTTCATTATAAAATATGGACATTTAAATAACTTTCTTAGCTTGTGGACTTTTCAGGGTCTTCCCCCAATCCTCAAAGTAAATGTGTAATTATATATAGCAAGGTCTCTACCTTTCCTAGTATTTTCTAACGTGAGATGAATGTTCTCTTCTGCTGCCTGCTCTCATCCCCTTCAGAATTTGAGGATTATGCATTCACTTTGGTTGTCAGGAAGTTTTACTATTGTTTGAAAATGTCAAATTTGTTCTGTTGTGACAGGAAACCTTAATATAAACATATTTAGAGTTTTGTAACGGTAGATAAGTCCATAGTGAGTAGTGGTACGGAAGTACATTAAGCTTACATAGTCATTCACATGGCTTGTGCATTCAGTGTTTTCTTATTACATCTGTTTTCTTCCTGGTGATTTCTATCAATTGACCATGTCTCTACTACTTATTGCCAGCTCATGCTTATGCAAAGGGAAATTCCAAAATGTGGAACTAACGGGGAGCCATGAGTTGCATATTAATTTCAAAGTTGTTAAAATATGTCTTAGAATCAAAGAAATAGTACTATCAAATTGAAAGGCACCCATATGGTGCCTTTCTTGTGACACGAATTTGAAGCTGGTTGGAATTGATACTCATCAGGAAAGATGCTAATGGACTGTGGCAGACAAGACTTACAAAGCCTGGGCCTTAGTTTTGGTTTCTAGAGTGAAGTGGTAGCTGATAATGAGGTAGCTGCTTCTGTCTTTGGTTTCATTCTTTTGTAACTTGTAAACCTTTTTGTTTTGTTTTGTTTTGTTTTGTTTTGTTTACAGCTACCTCTGAATGGCCCTAATGATGGTAATAATTCATTCATCGAACAGCCATGCCAGGCACTGTACTAAGAGCTGAGTGTGCTGTGGTGAATTATACAGACAGGGAACGTGTATTGGTGGAACTCATATTCTAGTGGGAGGAGGCAGACAGCAAACAAATCATAAACAGGATAATTTTACAGTAGACAGTAAACAGGGTAGTGCGAATAATGGAGGGGTGCTAATTTAAATAGATATCTGAGGAGACTGACAATTGAGCCAGCCAGATGAAGTTATAAGGGGAGAGGATTTCAAGCAGAAGGAATAAAATAAGAGCAAAAGCCCTAAAGAAGTAATGTTAATAACAACTACACATAAGAATTACCACTATCATTTATTTACTATGTGCCAGGCATTGTGTTAAAAGCTTCTCTTACATTATGTATATTATTTTATTTAACCCTCACAGTATCCCAGTGGCATGGGTACTGTTATTCTCCCCTTTTTTATAGATGGGGAAACTAAGGCTCAGAGATAAGCTGTGTGCTCAAGGAAGGTCATACCAGCTGGTAAATAGTGGGGCCAGGATTTTAACTTAGACCTCCCATCTCCAAAACTGGTACTCTTAACTACTGCCTCTTGTCTTGAACTATGAAGCTTCTCCATTGCACCTATGAAGTAGATGGGAAGGTGAGGGTAATTTAAGTACCGTATTTCCCGGCGTATAAGACGACTGGGCGTATAAGACGACCCCCTAACATTTCCACTCAAAGTACAGAGTTTGTTATATACTCGCCGTATAAGACTACCCCCTCTTCCGCATACCTTCCGCACACCAAATAAAAGGTAAAACAATATCAGATTTGATTTTAACATTTTAATTTATATTCAAATGCTTATGACATGCAGGAAAACTGTCACAAGGCTGTATGTAATCAAACATATACATAAAACAGTGCAAGTTTATTACCGGTAAACATACCGGTAATTCACTAAAGAAAACACACTCTATAGACTGGTACCGTAGATGCTTCTCAGGAACACAGGCAAGCAGCCCACAACCTAGAGGGACTGTCAATGATAGAAGAAAGATAACAAATAGAGGGAGAGAGCAAGTGCCGGGCAAGTCCCTAGCAAGTTTGCTGGCGTGACAGTTTCACCTTAAAAGCCTTCAAACTCCTCTTCATCATCTGATATTAAAAGTTCATCAACGACATCTTGGTGCCATGATAGGGATGATAGGGGTTTGACTGGTCGACATTTTCTATGCTGTACTGTACAATGGGGCAGTATTGTGGTTGGCTGTTGGCTGTATACAAAGCCTGATTTGATTGGTCCCTGCTCCCTGTTTGCCCGCCCTGTCACTATAGCAGTCTGGTCCACCCTTGCATCAGCATCTCCCTGGGACCTCACTAGTGCGCAAGTGCGAGCTCTTCAACATTCTAACAGGCACCATGATAGCGCAAAATCGCGAATCTTCAATGCATATGTAAAGAAATATACGGTAACCCGAATTTACCACACTCGCAAAATCGCACACAGCCAACCATACACCCAGTATGGTATCGCGATTCGTGATTTTGCGCTATCATACTGGGTGTATGGTCGGCTGTGTGCGATTTTGCGAGTGTGGTAAAATCGCATAACAGCAAAATCGCATAACAGCCGAGCATACACCCAGCAGCGCTGCTGATGCCTGAACGGTATGTGGAATGAAGTGGGCGGGCATCGGGAGGCCACTATGGCACGGGGCAAGCACTATGGGCAGTCTATCTGAAGTGTACCTGGCGTATAAGACGACCCCCCATTTGGAGGCATATTTTTCAGGGCCAAAAAATCGTCTTATACGCTGGCAAATACGGTAAGTTTCGTATTTCCTTAAATGGGCTGATACAGTGGAAAGAATACTGAACTAACCTCTTGTTTATTCTCCAGCTCTTATTCTTCCTCCCTTTCAAATTACCCACTTGTCAGCTTCCTCCTTAAATACTGTATGTCTTTCATTTGCACTCTCTGCCTTTCCCTCCCTGGGCCACATTTAATTTAATTCTCTCCCCACCCTACTCCTCCCCCTTTAATAATTTATGTCTTTTTCCTTTTCCACATCTTTGCATACATAGTTCCTTCTTCCTAAAACACCTTCTTCCACTTTTGCTACTTGGTAAGTAATTCAAAATACAGCTTAAGCTTCCTGAAGTATTTATTCCCCCCCCCCTTCTACTTAGTAATATATGCATTCCTCTGTTATTACAATTATCATCTTGTATTGAGATTGAGTTTTTAACATCTGTCTCTTACACTAGATTAAGCTCTTAGAGACCGGACTGCACCAAATTTGTTCATTTTTAAAAATATAGCCATTGCTGAGCATTTGTTAAAACACAGTGTTTGTTAAATGAATGAGTCTAAAGACTTATTAGCAATACCTCTGTGAAATTGGGCATATGATTTAACTTCCCTGAATAGGATTTCTTTATCTGAAAAGTCAGGGTTATAAATAATTCCTGTTCTGCCAATATCACAAGGCTATTGTGAAGATCTGAAAAGATAATACATGTGAAAGTGCTTTGGAATGTCTTAAACTGTTAGACTTTATGGATTAATATGATAACTTAAAAAGTAGCTGATGGTTAGCCTAGAATTCAGTGATGGCAAACCTATGACACGCGTGTTAGAGGTGACACATGAACTCATTTTTTGGTTGATTTTTCTTTGTTAAATGGCATTTAGATATATAAAATATATATCAAAAATATAAGTCTTTGTTTTACTATGGTTGCAAATA